CTTGAGTTTTTATGAAGTGTATGGTATGCGCACACTTAAGAACGCGGGGAGTGCAAATATACCCATACTTAGATGATTGGCTAATTGTTTCGCAATCCAAACAAGGTCTTCTTACTGCTATACAAGTGACCTGCGCTCTACTCGATGCTCTTGGTCTGTGCATTAACTGTGAGAAATCGTCCCTTATTCCCACGCAAGTCTTCGACTTCATTGGGGCACGACTCGACTCGACTCGACTCAACACAGGAAAGAGCCTTTCTTCCACCGGAACGTCAAGATGCCTTATGCAACCACATCGTCGGATCTGGCAGCACGGAACAGTCCCAGCCTTATCCATTCAGAGACTACTTGGGCACATGGCTGCTGCAGTTGCCATTGTCCCGTATGCCAGGCTCCGTATGCGACCCATACAACTGTTTTTTAATGCCGCATTTCACCCGCAACAGGATCCTACCACCAAACTGATACGGATTCCATTTGCGATCCTTCATACTCTAACTTGGTGGACCATCCCAGGCAACCTGTTTATTGGCGGCCCGTTTCGACCGCCTCAGCCAACAACAACCCCGTACACCGACGCATCCCTCCTTGGATGGGGTGCAACATGTTCGGGACTTCAAGTCCAAGGTACTTGGAACCGACAAGAAGTAAGGAAACACATCAACTTCCTTGAACTTCTAGCAATTTTCAATGCCCTCAAGGCCTTCGAGACTGTGCTATGCCGTCAAGTTGTCCAGATTGCATCAGACAACATACCTGCTGTTTTCTATATCAACAAGCAGGGCGGCACAAAATCTCCAGCCTTAGCACGCCTATTGATGGACATCTGGGACTGGTGCATACCGAGGAACATTATGCTCCTGGTGGTCCACCTGGCTGGAACTGACAACATCAAAGCAGATATGTTAAGCAGACAGATGTCGACAACCCACAAATGGGAGTTGGACAGACAAATTTGCGAGAAACTCTTCCGTTTGTGGGGCTGCCCAGACGTGGACCTGTTCGCCACCCAGGACAACAGAGTGTGTGCCCTGTACTGCTCCAGAGTGGGCATCGGATCAGGATCGATGGGTGATGCTCTTACGATCCCTTGGAACAACATGACTTTTTATGCATTTCCTCTGATCCCACTTTTAACAAAAGTGGTGGCGAAAATAGCCCAAGACAATGCCAGAGGGATATTAGTAACTCCGTGGTGGCCGGGACAACCATGGTTTGTCACTCTTTTGCTACTATCCAGAAGAACGTTTCTTCGCCTACCAACTCTTCCGCATGTGTTAACACAACAAGACGGAGCAATCTGGCATCCGGATATAACCTCCCTGAACTTGACAGCATGGTGGATCAACTGAGTCATTTCACTGAGTCGATACTGACGATACCTCACTCTATGGAAGACCCTATTCAGCAGACTGTACAAATGGCTCCTACCTCGGATTCGACAGCAATCGCTGTGGTACCTACGCCTACCGACCAAGAAATTCAGGCAGTTCTCGAATCTGCATTGAGACCGTCCACTCGTCGTTCATATGTGGCTAAATGGAAAAGATTCTCCTCTTTTGCAGAGTGCCATTCTTTTCTTCCTGGGACGGCTTCAGTTGACAATATTCTGCAATTTCTCTTGCAACTGCATCATGCTGGACTCAAACCATCATCCATCAAAGCTTATGCAGCAGCCATATCCCATTATTGTGGCACTGTCCACAGTTTATCAGATTCCCTCTACCGCTGGTTCAACACTTTATTAGGGGACTACAGAACTTAGATCCATCTATCCGCCCTGCTATGCCAACGTGGAGCCTTTCCTTAGTGCTCCAAGTGCTTACCAAACCACCATTCAAGCCTTTGGCAACTGTGGACCTATGCCTCATGTCATGGAAAACGGCCTTCCTCGTAGCAGTAAGATCAGCTCGGAGAGCTAGTGAAATTTGTGCTCTTCGCATAGACCCGCCATTTCTGAATTTCCATAAGGAAAAACTTGTTCTTCAGATGGATTTTTCCTTTCTCCCTAAAGTGGCTGCGCCATTCCACCTGAGTCAGGACATTGTTTTGCCGGCATTCTTTCCATCACCTTTGAATCCGATAGAACGTGCTCTACACACGCTTGATGTTCTCCGTTGCTTGGCTTTTTACAGATCCCGCACTGAATCTTTCTGTAATACTAATAGACTTTTTGTTAAGTACTCCGAGCGTGACAAGGGACCGCCGATCACATCTCAAAGACTTTCTAACTGGATTGTCCAGACTATCGTCCTGGCTTACCAGCTATCGAAAATAGACTTACCTGTCTTTCCAAGAGGTCACTCCACACGAGCAGTAGCGACTTCGTCTGCATTTGCCGCAGGGGTTCCACTACAGGATATCTGCAGAGCTGTGACGTGGGCTGGTCCATGTACCTTTGCCAAGCATTATTGGCTTGATGTACGTGCCAGGCAAGACTGCTCTTTCGGCAGAGCTGTTCTTTCATCTGTTCTTTGCTGACAACACCTCCCTCCTCCGAGTTTGGTAAGCTTGCGAATCACCCATATGTGTGATGCACAGAGGCCACGACGAAGAAAAGCAGGTTGCTTACCTGCAACTGATGTTCTTCGAATGGCCATCTGTGCATTCACACAACCCACCCACCGGCCCCACTCGGTGTTGGTGAGTGGATGGTTTTTTTTTTTTTCTCTCGGTACCATACTCTAATTTTCATCGGTACCGTTGGGATATAATGATGCTTGTCATTGATTTTATTCTCAACCTCTAGGGGGTGAACGTTCAGTCTTCAAGACAGAGTAAAATGGCGGACACTCTGCTCTATTTATAGCACTGAGGGGGAGGGGAGCGGAGTTTCCCGCCAAAAACCGTTAGCTTTCTAATCTTCCGGCCTAGGCACTGCACAGACGCAGCACCCATATGTGTGAATGCACAGATGGCCACTCGAAGAACATCAGTTACAGGTAAGCAACCTGCTTTTTTCTCAGACACATTCACGAACCACACAGTTCCCTTGCTCTCACTGCTTACGAGTATACCTTAGAGCCAGCTCAGATACTTGTTAGTTCATCTGAACCTGCATTCCTCAATTTGGTGCTTTCCAGGGTTGGGGAGGATGCTGCCAACCTACAGATCAAGCTTGAGGTGGGGCAATGTGAATACATTTTGCTTTCTGTGTTATTGGTCTAACCATTTGATAAATAGTTGTGCTTCATTAAACATGCATTTGACCAAAAACAAAAGTAAACAAAAGTATAAAGGACAGCTCAACTCTATAATGCTTGCTTCAGTTTTCAAGATGAAGAGGTAATTATCATAATGGTTTTCCACGTATGGCTCTTTCTTTGGAAAAAAAAAGTTGATTCCACAAAAGCTGCTCTCTGAGATCCTTCAATCCTACGCATTTGTGGTGACAGTATGGAAAATCCCTGTGTGTTGACATGGTTTTCTCTTCTAGAGGGAAATGAAGTACATTCCTGGGGCATGAATTTTACCTGAGGCTGAGTGGTCTAAAAAATAAAATGTCAGGGGGCTAAAAAAAGAAATGCCAGGCAAGAATCCTTTGTCTTAACCTGGGTCTTGTTTCATGTGCAGATAATTTATTTATTCATCATTTAAAAGTTCGAGCAGTATATGTGCAGGTTAATGGAGGATAAGGCTACTGAGTGTTGGATTTGACCTGGGGGTGGTCTGAGGGAATATAAGTATATTTCTATTTGCTGCAACCTGACCCTAGTAGGGGATTTACACCTGGGAATCCAAATGAACTTCAGCCTTTTCTGTGTGAGTGGATGCACACAATGCACTGCATGCAGGGCTGGTATAAATTACTTTCTATTGGCATAGCCTCCCAGCCTGTGGATACAATGATGAACTTCATTATAGAATTGTTGTATGGCATTCCCTCCACCCAGCCAGCAACATAGAGATAAGAGCAGGGCATGTGTGGACATAATAATGCCCAGTCTCAGCTATATTAAAGACCTAAATTTCTTCACTAATTTCTGCAGGCAGCTTTCACTTCCAGGCTGCAGGCCATTAAAAGAGGGGAAAAGGCTGCTCAGAGGACAGAGACATGGTGTATGCAGACAATATGGATGGTTCTTTTGTGCTTAGTATCCTGGCTGCCTCGTCTGTTGTCCTCTTTTGCTTGTTCCTCTCAGAAGATGAAAAAGAATAGCAGTGGAGCAAAGTAAAATGGAGAAAGCCTCTCTGGATCAACGCCCATAAGGCGTGCCTCATTGCACTTTGACAGTAGGTTCCCCCGCATCGCCCAGGACATTTCCATGCAAGGCACACCATTGTAGACCCGCAGAAGTGTGCAAGTACTTACTTTCACAAGTTTGATAAGAATTAAAAAGAAAAAATGCATATTTGACATAGAAAAGGGTGGCAGCCTTTCAAAGTGGCACTTGAGTATTTTGAAGGGGGTGCTGTCACTACCTGTCAAATCACAAAAATCAATCCCCCCCCCAAAAAAAGGAAAAAAGATCAAGTGAGGTCAAAGAAGGGATGGCAGACAATCTACTCTGCTTGTGCTCACTATCGATGGTCCCCATTACCCTCGCAATGCTCCTTGTATTATTTTTCAGCTAGCTTCTTTTGCTATTTGATCTAGCAGCATTTTAAAGTCTGTTGAGCTGTTGTGGCCATGCCCTCCTCTGCTTCTTAGGCCACATGTGCCTCTTCTTAGGCAGCCAGCCAGCCAGCCAGCCAGCCAGCCAGCCAATTCTGTTCCATGGTCACTGAGCATTCTCAGTACACATTGGGTTGTTTTGTCCCTGCACCCAATCTGTTCTAAATATTTGTTTCTACTTCTGAAAATGTCAGTTAAGGTTTCCTCAAGCCTGGTAAGTTCTCATTCTTGCATGAGAATGATGCTGATTCAACTGCATAATAATTGGCACTCTCCTCTAAACTATGCATATATAGAAAATGATAGGCAGGCCTTGCATGCTTGGAGCTTTTAATTGTTTTGCTCACTTTTTGTAGTGTTAATTTTAAAATATATTTACTTTTAGAGAACTAGAGGACGAAAACGAAGCTATCTTCCTGAGGAAGAAAAACCTGAGGTTGGAATATTATGATTTTATTTATTTAAAACTAAATTGCTTAGACTGTTGGTATGCAGATGAATGATGAAACTAAAACTAAAAAGCTTCTTTTTCCTCTCTACCTTCTCTGTTTTCCCCTATTGTTAGGAACGTATTCCAAGAGAAAGAAGACAAAGACAGAGTGTAGTACAAAAGAAACCCAAGTCTGAGGATTTAAGAACTGAATGTGCCACATGTAAGGGAACTGGAGACAATGAAAACCTAGTCAGGTAGGTTTAATGCTGTGACCTTTTCCAGAGGGGATTAAAGTTCCATCTTCATCACTTTCTCATCATGGCTATAATGAATGAACTCTTGGAATAGAATGCTTTTTTAAAAAATCTGATTTAAGCGGAAACATTACTTCGGAAACAGTGATTTGATCTACTTATTGACTTGCTGCATACATTTACCCTGTAGTTTTAGAACAACTAAGGAGAGAAATGTTTTTCTCAAATAAGAGATTTAATTCTCTGTTGTCAGGCTGAGTTGCTAGAGTTTTGTAACATCTCACAAAGATAAACAAGCCAACCATTCCAAGCACATAGTACAACATAAACCACTGATCTTCCTAAGCAAGTTACATGTGAAGTCAGCTTTAACTGACCTAAAAATGTAGCTGAACACATTTTGGACATTTTAAAGAAAATTTTAATCTCAGTGCAATCTAAGGAATTCCTCATGTTTATGTGATTTCTCTTCTGAAGTACAACAGGAATTGTGTGCTCTCTTAGGATGCTTAAAGTGTGTGTGTTAATTCAAAATTCAAATGAAGAAGGTGTGGTCATCAAGTGTAGCTGTCAACTCTTAATACCTAGATAAGTGGTTTGTCCTTGGTTTACCTTATAGTTTGTTTGCCTTGTGAAAACAGAATCATGTAAGACTTAGCTTTGGAGTTCTAAAAATGCACCAGATATCAGTTTTTGCTTCATCTAGAAAACTTCTGTTAAGTGTACCTTTTGGTCTTTTCTGTAAGAATATTTAAAAAGCTAATTTTCTTCCATTACGAATAATTACTGATTTAAACAAAATTAGTATGATAGTCAAGATCTTCCTGGGGTGTTAAGGATCACAGAAAATATGTACACTGTGGGACCATGGGAAGTGGTGAAAGAAAAACGAAGTCAAACAGGAAACAAACCAAATACACCAGTCCCGAAAGAGCTAAGCACAACTAGGGTTCAGGACAACAGTTTAGCTGTGATTCTTCTCTTATCTCTTAAAGAATATTTAGTTTGAATTTTTGAACTTTACTCATGTACTACAGGAAGTTCACTGATGGTTTATTGGGATGGGACGGGGCTAAACACATAATTGCATTCAGATATGTTTATTCAGAGAAAGTTCTTCTCAATGATGCACAGTTACTTACTCAAATCAAAAAGACTGCTATTTCCCATTGTAGTTTCCTTTTCTCAGGGATTTCAGGCAATACAGTGAAGTCAAGATCATTTTAACACCTGACACTTCATGGTCATGTTCATAGTAGGAATTGCTGCCACATAGCTGCCCCTTCTGAAGAAAACTCTTTCTATGAAAAGTACAGCTTTCTGTGTGTGGACTGCAGCATGATGAATCAGTTTACAACAGATCTTGTGATAACAGTGCTGTGGTCCCCAAAGTCAGTATTCCTTTTCTTTTTGCCACCTGCAACAGCTGCAAGACGTTTAAAAGAAAAGGAGAGCATTGTTAGAAGTGTACAAGCTCTTGAGAATACCAAGTTCTCTTTTCTTCATTGTTCCCTACCTGTATTCATGTGTGTATTGAGACTTTATGGAAAGTATTCCTAAATAAACCAAATAAGTAAGTTTGGGAGGTATTCCTAAATAAATAAATTGTATTTTAAATAATCTGCCAAAGTTTGCACTGAAGGCATTATAGAGTTTATGTACAACCTTACATAAAGTTTATTTTTTTCTGTATGTCAGGCTGTGTGCTTATTGGACTCTACAGTCAAGCAGGGACATTATAATATTGTGTAACATCTGAATTTATAATAGTGCACCAATGCAGTACAAACATTTAATACTACAGAATAAGATTTTTAGCTAGCCTGTCCACTTAACATTTCTTTTTGTTATGCAAATAATTCATGTAAAACTTTCTAAAACTTGTTGAACTTTTCTGTGGAGAACTATAAATCACCTTCTTACAACTTTTATTTTCTGGCAAACTTTTAGCAGCAGTACCATTTTTTCAATAATATTTCGTGTTGAAAATAACTGTTTGAGTAATCCCATAATTCCAACTTGTCTATTATTGAATGCATCTCTTTTGTCAGCAGCCAAGATTGTTTCCAATTTCATCATCTGTTTTTAGGGTGCTTTTGTTTTAAAAATGCACTTAAAAATGGATCATAAGAACATTTTCTGTTCAGAAGTGGCTAAAAGTAATGATTGATTGAAATAATCTTGCTTCTCAGATGAAGACTATATTTAAAAAGACATATAAGATCAATTGAAGTCCTTTGTCCTAACACAGTGATGGCGAACCTTTTAGAGACCGAGTGCCCAAACTGTATCCCCAAACCCACTTATTTATTGCAAAGTGCCAACCCTGAAATAAAACCTGAAAACTGAAGTTTTAGTTTAGAAAAAGCAGCTTAGAGCCAGTCCAAGCAAACATATATCCTTGGCAGCACACTGGCCATGTGAAAGCTCTGACAAGTCACAGCTAATGAGCTGTGGCTCATAACCGAACGGCACTGCAACTGCTTTCCGAACATGCACATGGCTCCTATCTGCGCAGTTATCTAATGTTCGGCTGATGGGGCAATGCTGGGACGACTTGGCTTGCGTGCTAACTGAGAGGGCTCTGCATGCCCGCTGTGGCAGGTGTGCCATAGGATCACCATCACTGCCCTAAGCCTAACCTGGTGCACTCCACTAATTCTAATATAGGGGTAAAATACCATGGAAAGGGGCGATTTTGAAAAAGTCTTCCTTGAGCAGCTTTTTCTGCACTGCTCATCATTTCTGCCCATTCTAAACACATTCCAACCATCAAAATCATGCCAGGTCACCACCACGTTGATGCATACCCTTAACCCTAATATTGGGCTAAATTTGCATTGAAAATAATGCAATTTTGAAAAAGCCTTCCTCAGGTAGCTTTTTCTGCACAGCTCATCTTTTCTGCCCATTCTAAACACATTTTAACCATCAAAATCATGCCAGGACTTCTCGTTTTTGTAACCCTAACCCAGTGATGGTGAACCTTTTAGAGAACGAGTGCCCAAACTGCAACCCAAAAGCCACTTACTGATCGCAGAGTGCCAACACTGCAATAAAACCTGAGAACTGTGGTTTTTGTTTAGAAAAAACTCATAGCCAGTCCAAGCAATATCCTTGGCAGTGCACTGACCGGCCATGCGAAAGCTCAGACGAGTCACAGCTAATGAGTCGTGGCTTGTGACATCATCGCCTGGCGCCGCTACTCCTTTTTGAGCATGTGCATGGCCCTATGTGTGCTGTTATCCAATGCTCGGCTCCTGGGGCGATGCTGGGAAAGAGAGGGCTCTGTGTGCCCACTGTGGCATTTGTGCCATAGGTTCGCCACCACTGTCCTAAGAGATCCCTCTCCGCCTAGGTTATGTGAACATCACAGCATTAATGTTTCTCCCAAGAATTAAAAGGTATTTTTATAAACGTGAATGCTATGCTTCTCTCTTCTTAGGGCTACCTTAAACAGCATATATAAATGAGAGATTTGCAAATAAACCTGAGATTATGACTGTATGTTCATGTAAAATACTAGATTGTCATTCTGTAGCGTTATGGTCTTTTGTTATTTTTTTGCAATTAGTTCCTAAAAATGTTTATTTATCAGGGTATCTCACATAATCAATATCCAGTGGTTCATTCTGCAAACTCCGATACTGCTCCTATGACGGTTTTTGTCAAACAAATGTTTGTGCATTATGCTTGCCTAACCAGTTGCCTAACCGCAGCTGTAGTTGCATTCTGCTCTAACACATAGTTCAGAATCTTGTGTCTGCCATTGCAATGTCATTTGGACTAGTGGAATTACAGCACTGGATACTGGTTTCAGTTTTTAAGCATAGTGGAGAACTGGATATAGATAAATTGAGTGAGGCTGATTCTAAACAAGGTTTAAATTTGGATCTGGCATTTCTGATGTCCTGAAGGGAAGGAAACATCTACCTTTTGAACATCTTTTGTTCCTGATTGTTCAGGTATACACAGACTTGCAGTACTTCTGTATTCATTATTTTACAGTTAATATGTGATGACTGTCTCCTGAAAATAATAGAAATATTCACCAGGTCCACAGTGTGTATCTGTAATCCTTGTGCTGCAAATTGAGTTGATAGTTTAAAAACTTAGACCATAATAAGAGTGAGGCTGTGTTTCTCCGGTTTTGTTGGAATCTTGATAATCATGGCCCAAGCTTCTTTCAACCTTTAGATCCATATTACAAAATAATATGAAATGAACCTGCAAAAAGGAATTACTCAGTATTATTAATTCTGTTTCCCTCTAGTGATTTTCAGAATTCTAGTTTGAGCATGCTCCATAATAATTATTGAGTGATTATTTGACAATTGCCTCTGTTGATATTATTTTAAAGTCGTATATTTTCCTTGAACAAAAACATTTCATAGTGGATTATCTTGAAAGTTTTTATCACAATTTCATCAGTGCACTTTTAAAAGAACCCTTTCTCTTACTGGTATAAAAAGTTCTTGACTACCAAAGTTTCAATTATGTCTAGACTAAGACTTTAATTTTATGTGTATCTCTTTTAGAACTTACTTCAACCATATTTAAAAATGTGCCATTTGATATAAATGGGATTTATTTCTGTCAAAGATAATATGGGGCACATTCAGTGCTACTAAAACTGCATTGAGATTATCTTTATGAATAAGAAGTAGATGATCCAAGCATTGCTTAGATATAATCCTGATTTTGATTATAAAGATAATAATGACAATGTGGAGACGATTACTGTAATTTTTGTCTCTCTTTAAAAAAAACAGTGAAACACAAATGCAAGTGGTTACATGCATGTCATAGATTTTTATGCTTAACTTCCTTGAAAGAGCAGACACATAACTGATTTTATAGAATTCTGCAGTTTAAAAGCAGTTTGTCATGTGATACAGCAGAAGTAGATTGTTGTTTGAGAAATACAGATCTAGAGTTTGCTTAGATGATCAAAATTAGTGGTCTGGTTTGTTGAATTCTAACTGCAGGCTTACTTGATT